CACTCTTTCCGGGATGAAAACTTGAAGACAAATGTATCTTCGTCCATGTATCAAAGTGGGGATCTTGTGTAATAATTCAGTGCTGCATGTTAATAAAGGTTGGTGGGGTAGCCTAGTGGTTAAAGCATTAGCTCGTCACGCCGAGTTCAATTCCCCACATGGGTACAATGTGTGAAGCCCATTTCTGGTGTTACCCGCCGTGATATTGCTGGAATATTGCTAAAAGCGGCGCAAAAACTAAACTCACTCACTCACACTCTTGTAAATGACATCTTGTAAGTGACACTAGCCCAAGATGGTGTTGCACTGTGTACATGAGTGAACGAGTTTGGTTCAATACCGTTCTGAATACTAATTTAGTTATATCATGGAGTTCCTGCTTTATGTGGGATGGAAACCCGAAGTGACACCGGTCTGAAGTTTAGCACTTCGCTGAAACCAACATGTGCTGACAGACGATATTAGGGGTGCAATGCAACGAACTTTATCATTAAATACGACAGGGCCAATGGGTCCTAACAAGTAAATAATACTGGAAATATACAGAGATTCGACTTACCTTGAAAATAACCGTGAACCTCTGTCTAATATCCCTTTACATTCACGTGTTAATGCCGCCAAATGATAACAGGATTCTGAACATCAATTCCAAAAAACATTTAATTCTATCCATTATGATTTGGAAGCCGGTCGATTACCTCTGACAATCAAAATGCTTTCAACATATTAATTGAGCACGCATTGTATTTGATCAAGAGTCTCACATTTGACAACATGTATTGATGCTCGGATCGGTACTGTGGGCAAGTTTACTCGCCCCGACCATGCGAAGCAGTCTACACCGAGATATCACACTGTGTGCTAACAAGCGGTATTGATGTTAATGGTGTTAACGTGCCTGGGTATTTGTGGTGCATTAAGTAATAGAATAAATATAGGTATCATTAACAGTTGCATGGAACAATGCAAATACTCAGATACTGATTCGAATTTCGTCATACGTCCTTCACATTCACTGAAATGTGTGCTTGTCCTCGTGCATGAGTGTATCATCTGTTGTCAAGTATATCAAGTATTTTGATGCCTTGGACTCCAAATTGCCAATCGCATCAAATTCAGAGCTTGTTTACTCCTCGAAAGGATCCAGTTTCCGTCGAGAATTCTTCGAGTGAACGTACGAGTGAACGAAACATTCAGACCAGAATATCTGATTTCTGTAACTCGAACACGAACTTAAGGTAACCATTAAAGTACAAAATATATACATTGTTGTGGTATTTTACAAATCAACAATATTTGATTAATAATATTCCATTTTTTTGCCATGTTTGTGACATTTCTCAATTTCTTTATTTCAGCTGATATTCAGGACAGCGGCCTCTTACAACATAGAATACATTGACAATATAATAGCATAGTGCGCATACGTAAAATATGCATATTCATATGTGTGGTAATATACTGATACAATGATTCATGTGTTTGGTAATTATATAGTTCTCAAATTCATGGCATGATGTAAATACATTGAAACATTTCTAATAGTGCTTCCATTTTTATTTAGGTAAACAAATTGATCTATAGAAATTGTTGTGACATTGATATATTGGTTTCTAATGTGTGAAAGTGATCTACAACCCAAAAGAAAATGGTATTCATCCTCCCGATTGACATAATTTTCACAATCTGTCTTTGCTGGTTCAAGCTGGTTCTCTGGCGTACACTCTACGCCCGAGAGACATCCCACGGATGCTCTTCCGGGGATAGGTCATGGAACTTACTGGGATACAGTCTAGTGTCCGCATGCCTCCTCGCCGGAGATAACCGATGACAACCTCGACGTGATGTGGTTGGCATCGTCATCAAAATTTTACCGATAATCAATATTTCCAGTATTCTGGAACAATGACAGAACGAAACGTCGTCAAGTGCCAGTCAAATGGTAATTCACAATATTCAAATGAGTTCCCTTGTTATGTGTGTTAGAACACATTGTCACACTTCTGGTTCCATAGGGGGCGGTGGGGTAGCCTAGTGGTTAAAGCGTTCGCTCTTCACGCCGAGAACCCGGGTTCGATTCCCCACATGGTTCGATTCCCCACATGGGTACAACGTGTGAAGCCAATTTCTGGTGTCCCCCCGTCGTGATATTGCTAGAATATTGCTAAAAGCGGCGTGAAACTGCACTCACTCACTCACTCACAATTTGATTGGACGGTTATATTAAGAAGCTTTCTGTTCGTGTTCCTATGATAGTGACTGGTCCTAGTCGTTGATCATACATTAAATGGGCCTAGATAACCGAGAATGTAATATAATATTACCAGAAATGATTGCGAATTTTAGGAATATGTTTAATTGCATTTCTAGTATAAACAACCTTGACAAGCTATCAAGTGCTTGGTTTCATTCAAGAGAGACAACTCCGTTAATCCTTTTTCATTAGTTTGTGAAGAGTTATCCCCCTTTGTTTACCTGCTAGCAGACGACATTTTCAGTGATCCTCAGTATGGATGATTTAGAGAAGAGGAAGTTGATTTTAGAGTATTATAACAAGGACATCAGATCAGCTAAAGTGATTTCAAGTAGAACAGGCATCCCTTTGTCCACTGTTTATCGTATTTTGAAAAATATTGCAAATGGATATGGCATTGAGCACCAGGGAGGGGCAGGTAGGCCTAGAAAATTGACTGTCGGTGACAGGAGGCGGCTTGGTATTCTTGTTTCTAAAAATAACGAAGGAGTTTAGAAAACTTAAGGCTGGATATGATTGATAGAGGAACTGTGGCTGCCTGTAAGGAGACAATTAGAACTCAGCTGCATGCAATGGGTTGGCAGAAAAGTCGAATTCCTTCACCGATCATGAAACCTGAGCGAAAGGAGCGAAGGTTGAACTGGTGTGCTTACAGCATAGAAATTGTAACTGGGACAATGTGATTTTCTCAGATGAAAGTTCTGTGTGGCTGTTTCCTAATACACTGAAATTCTTGACCAAACAAACTGAAAAACCTTCGTATCAGCGCCCAAAGTACAGTCCGAAATTTAAAGTGTGGGGTGGTATATCTGTGTTAGGGGCAACGCCTCTCTGTGTATTTGGAGCGAATATGAACAGTGAGCGGTACATAGATATTCTCAAGGGACATTTACTTCCATCTGCTCACGTGTTCTATGGAAAAGTTTGGATTTTCCAGCAGGACAACGACCCAAAACATCGTTCAAAGCATTCACAGGCCTGGGTTCGGACCCAAAATATGACATTATTAGATTGGCCAAGCTATAGCCCTGACCTAAATCCAATAGAAAATGTTTGGGGACTTATGAAGGAAAGTGTCAATAAGAAAAATCTAGCAAATATTGCTGAAATGAAAGAAGAGGTGGTCCGATATTGGGACAGCATGGACCACGACTTTCTAACTTCTTTGATCAGTAGTATGCCCCGCCGCATTGAAGCCTGCATTGCTGCCCATGGTGACTTGACAAAATACTAACTGTTCACCTGTCTTTGAATCTGGAGTCATGTTCTGCTAATATTCACATTTAATACGTGAGTAATGAGTAAAAAAAATAAAACAAATTACAATCTTTAAATTCTCAATAATTTCTGATTGTTGTATATGTTATGGGTCAAACTTAGTTGTTTTCTTTGTGAGATGGGGGGTATCAAGGTTGGTTGAAATAGCTATTTTTGGCTCAAGATCCGCCATCACACCTCTGAGATTGCAATGGGAATCTGCAACTTAAATTTCGTGTCTTCATTTTATTCATTGGTGTCAAATTCGAAGAGCAGCATAGTTGGGATCACCATGACCTCTTCATCAAGGCGGAAGTTCGGTGTTTCGATCCCCGGGTGTGTCCAGCAAAAGACGTTAAGGGGGCAAGAGAAGGACTGGTGGGCTTAGCTTCAGTACTGCTGCCCGAGTAAGAAATTTGAATTTTCCCATCAGGTTCTACAGTAAATTGCAGAAGGCAACACCGTATCACTAAACGCCAGTGTCACCGAAACCAACAAATTTAGTGGTGGAGATCTTCACTTCATCAGAGAGAGAGGTATCATATGGAATCCTAGAAGACACATTGGCGCGTTGTCACAATGACACCTATGTCCCTTCTATGATTCCATGGTATTATATAATAGTAAGGAATCAGATTGTAATGAAATTGGCATTTTCGCACAAGCTCTTGTCTGTGGCACAGTCCCTGAACCGCATTACTGTCCCTTCTGCCCAGTCCTTTCTGCAATCCTGAGCCATCAATGAAGGAACCATAGATTTCCTCAGGTTCTGAATTTCCTATTTCATTTGGGGTTCCATTTCAATTTAAATGGGATTATTTGTTTCTATCAAAATTATATGTTTACATATTCAGACACTGTAGGCATTAGTCTACACGACCTCATGCACCGATGGAGGTACTCAAGCACAGTGCCAATGGTATGACGTAACACGAATCACATGTAAAGATTTTCTTTTGTCCAAATCAAGTGTTACTTATGTATGTATACAATTGTTCCATTACTTGATGCAACGCAAACACCCAGGGGCGTTAATATCATTAACATCAATACTGCTTGTTAGCGCGATATCTTAGTGTCGGTTGTGTCACATGTTCGAGGCGAGTAAACTTGCCTACATTTTTGTAACATAACATCAATACTTATTGTCAAATATAAATCGCTAGTTTCAATACATTGCGTGCTCAATTAATATGTTAAAAGCATTTTGATTGTCAGAGGTAATCGACCGATTTCCCAACCAAAAGAAAAGTGAATATAAAGAAATGATTTTGATAACTGATGCTTAGAATCCTGTTTTCCGTCCACGCCATTAACACGTGAATTTAACAGGAACATTTGTCAAAGGTTCAGTGTGATTTTCGAGGTAAGTCCATTCTGTGTTAACATCCCGTCAACTTCCCTTGTAGAAGCCCGGGCGTCCCGGTCGACACGCAAATGAGTCAATGACATATATAATATATGTATTTGTTTCAGCTTCGCCGTGCATCTATTAAACAACCGAGCAAGTCGCTTCAATGGATACATTATTCTGCCTTGCCATTTTCTTCCTGTTCGTGAAGGGACAGTCCCATGACGATCTGGTCCGTCTGGAGAAACAGCTGTTCCAAAACTACTCCTCAACATGGAGACCAGTCAGGAACCACAGTCACGTGACAAATGTATCCATACAATTCACGATCGGTTCTCTTGTGTCCATGGATATACTCAACGAACAAATAGTCAACAAAGTAATTCTCAGCCTTTCGTGGTATGACCAATTTCTGGTCTGGAATTCCAACGAATATGGAGGAATTGAAAGGATTGTCCCAAGGAGAGGAACCGTTTGGGAACCAATGCTACTTGTTCCCAATGCAGTCCAACACTGGGATATGGCCGCAGATCCAACAGCGTCCTTGTCAGTTGGGAGTACCGGACTTGTCATTCTTCTACTCGGAGGACCACTCAAAACGTCTTTCCCTGTGGACATGACGAGGTTTCCCTTTGATACCCAGACCATATCAATAAGCCTGTACCCTGTGCAATACGATCGAAACGAAGTCGTGTTTTCAGTATCCCAAGATTATGGCATACCAGATAGTCTGAGGTCCCACGGCGAATGGACTATGGAGAGCTCCTCATTTGAGATTGTTCTGAGTGGAAACTATTGTGGTGTCGAGTTCCGGATGACAATCCAGAGGAAACCCATCTTTTACATATTATCAATACTAATGCCCATCAGTCTTCTGTCATTTCTCAACATGGTTGTGTTTGCAGTTCCGGCAGAGTCTGGAGAGAAGTTATCCTTCTCGCTGACGACAATGCTTTCACTGGCTGTCTACATGAGTTTCGTAAGTCAGATTATGCCAAACAAATCTGTGCCTCTGTCTTTCATGGCTGTGTATCTTGCGGCAGTTCTGTGTCTCAGTGCTCTTGCAATCTTAGCAACAGTAATGGTCCTTCGTTTGCATCACAAACCGGAAACGGAACTGCCGCCATTTTGGGTGACCCAGATTTTGTGTGTGAAGAAGACTGCTCCTGAAGCCAAAGTGACGTACCGTGAGGTCAGTGGGCAGCTGGACATTGTGTTTGGTATGGTGTTTGGACTGTTTGCGGCCGTTGCCATTGGAACACAAGTCTACATGATGCAGTTCAGATGACTGATGTGCTGATTTCTACTCTCAGGTTTTGGAACTGCGAAGGTTAGGAGCAGCTGGAGAGACTCTATTGCTTTGATCACTGATCCACTTTATTTAGGTTTCATTATATTATGATACATACCAGGGACTCATTCTCCGATATAGTTTCATTCAGAGTCCATTTCGAATGACTTAACGTGAAAAAAAACCCAGATAAAACTTAAAGGTCACATGCAACGTAAAACACAACTTTGCAGATTCTGATACCTTTCGGTATGGACTTACCGAAACAAATCGTCAAAAATGCAAATTCAACTTATAAAGTTGAAAAATAACGCGATGAAAAAAAACGCGCGAAATCGGAGTTCAAACGTTTCACTAAATTTCCCCCGACTTTTCTGGGGAAAACGGGTTTCAACAGCTGGGCTGCGCTTGGAAGCGGGTTGTCCGGTGAATACTCGGTGAAGGCTTTGGTGTGAGCTATTTTTCTAATGTTTTGTTGATATCTCACAGGCGCGAGCTTTTTATATGTTATGACAGTAAATTAACTGTTTATATAATTTCATTTGTCTATTTCATCACACGTTCTTCTTACCGAGTCACTTTCTCAGTTCGATACTTAAAAGCAATGTCATTATTTAGCGTTGACAGAATTTCTAACTGTGATATAGATATCTCGTTGTCACAGACAAAACTCAATGTCTTGTTTTATTGACACCTGTGTGTCTGCCTGCCTGTCTGCTAATGACAATATTCAATACACAACTTCGATCACTGACCACATGCAATTTGAACTTAACACCAATCAGGCTATACACCATAAACAAAATGCATTGATTTATGGCCCGAGTTCGGTCTCTGTCACATTATGTAATTACACAGACAGGCAGGTGTGATACTTGAACACATGACATGTTATGATGTCTGTTGATTGCAAAATGTTTTACACAAAAAAATGAGCATGTATTTACAAAACCCAACATCTCTATATATACACACACAATGACCCGTGAGGGCATCTGCAAATGAACCAGCCGTTACACTTGAGTGCACACCCACCCGCTCTGACTGGGTTCGGTATCCCGGCTGCTTCGTTTCTTGGGAAGTAAACCGAAGTACACAATATTGCACTTTTGATTTGCGATTGTACGCTTATAATTTTGTTTATATGTTTTTTCATAACCAGCAATGTATATTATATGTCATGAATAAGTGATAATTGTGTTTTAATTATGTTTGATTTTTTTGGTTGCATGTGACCTTTAAAGCAAACATGTATTGTGATGAAACAGCAGCAAGCGGAGCATAATCACACTCGCCGAGCTAGACAACCTTGTTGCTTTTCCGGCGTCATAAAGCATTGTTCGAGAACGTGCTTTGGAACAAAATCACATAAAACTACGTAATAGGGTATAAAGATGTATTTTTAAAGTATGTGGTGCTGTATTCTAAAGGTAGGCCGTGATTTCCGATCTCAACTTGGGAGCGGTCTCAATTATACAACTGCGTACATCTTGTAGCGAATGAGTGGGTTTAGTTTTGCACCGCTTTTAGCAATATTCCAGCAATATCACGGCAGGGCACACCAGAAATGGCCTTCACACCTTGTACCCATGTGGGGAAACGAACCCGGTTCTTCGGTGTGACGAGCGAACGCTGTAACCACTGAGCTACCCTACCACCCGGGTACATCTCGTAGCACCAAGCACTTCATTCCCTTGCTTTTTCCGGCATAATGTTGATATTCTGGGTAAAATAAATCGAGAGCTCGCTCTTACGAATTCAACATGGCATGTGTTTGTTGATTTGGAACTCATCAGCAAGAGACATATTGCTGACAGTTGGTTCAATGTTATTGATTAGAGCGTTGAAAACAGCGTCGTCACTTCGAAAATGGTGACGAATATGTACTGTACCTGTACTGTACACTTAACACTGTACCTTGGATGGCATTATCCTTTTACTCATTAAAGAGGAGCTAAGCTCTAATCAAATGGGCACGATGTGTTAAGCCCATTTCTGGTGTCCCCCGCCGTGATATTGCTGGAATATTGCTAAAAGCGGCGTAAAACTAAACTCAGTCAGTCAGTCTAATCAAAATGACGTTCACAAAATAAAATTATTTTATCAAATTGACGAATTATATCACTGAAGCACTTAGTTTCTCATGACCTTGTTTATTAATGTCAAGGTAGAGGGGAAGATTTATTTTTGTATTTTATTTTGTCGTGTTTTACAATTACATTGTATATAAATGTGTATGTGACTCTTTTGGTCACGCGTCCTGGTGTTGGGGTGAGAAGATGTTAAATGGGAATTCACGAGGAGGCGTTGCCTGGTCTGTCATAGACTAACGTTTAGTCTCTGAAAATACACACACGCACGCGTGCGTGCTTGCGTGCGTGCGTGCGTGCGTGTGGGTGTGGGTGGGTGGGTGGTTGGGTGATATTTTGATAGTAACAAACAAACCCATTGATATTGAACAGGTGCCCCAGGGAGACCAGTACCTGGGGAAATCTAGACTTGCTTCATTTAGGGCTTTAGAATTGCAGAGAGGGCTAGGCATTAGGGGAAATAAGGTGGTTCAGGGACTGCGAGACAGACTTGGGCTGTCATGGCAATGACTGTCACTGTAGAGTTAACATTTTACTAACGCTTCTAACATTTTTCTGATATTAATACCTCGGCATATTCCGTAAACTAACCGTCACAACACGTCCCTAAGTTTCCGTAGGCATTCGTCACCACTCGCCCCTTTCCGTAACCTGCCAGAAGCGGTATTCGGCTTGTCCCGGAATAACACGAGTTGGTCACGAATGTGTACGTAGGCAGTGGCATGTCCCGGAATAACACGAGTTGGGCACGAATGGACTATTCCGGGACAAACCGAATAGCGACGAGGAAAGGCGAATGGTGACAAATATATGTCAACGAGTGGATAATTGGACTTGTGACTCACTGAGTCAGTCCGCGAGGGCGTTGGGACAAGGAATGGCTGTGTGTTCCTAACTACTTGTGGTAATCAGGAGAGGTTTTGAGGGCTGAAGTAATAAGTACTCACCTGAAGGAGACTGAGGGAGAGAGCCACTCGGACACACAGCTATCGAACCTTTTTTGTCAATCTAAATTAACCCAAACAATTTTGTTATCTATATGCGTGAAACTGCTCATTAGTGAACATAGTGTGGTGATGGTTACGAGTCATGTCTGAATGTAAATCTGTGCGTGTTGGTTTGTTTTACAAGTACTTACAACAGTACTCATATTAATTTAATTAATTTATATATAGTCAATAATAGTAAACATTCTCAAAATTCAAAACAGTAAACCTGACAAATCATTTTTGGTAACATATATAAAGCTCAACAACAGGAACTCTCCTGTCACTCGGACACAAATCCTAGCTGAAAACCGACTCCATTACATGTACAACCTTCTTCATACATACAGATGAACTGTGTGATATATAGATGTTACTGGTGGATTGAAATAAAACAATATATATTCTCAGCGCCACTCCTTCCTCTTTAACAGTTACATCTTTAACATTTAAATTTTAAGTTAAATCACCAGTGAATCTTCAATCCAAACATTAGACTAACAACTAGTCTCTGAAATGAACATATTTTACTGAAAAATGTTCATAGTAAAGAAAAATATAATATAATGAAAAGGAGCCCTGAGACTTTCTTCATTTTCAGAGACCCTGAAGCTGAGGAAATCTAGACTTGCCACATTTTCTAGACTTGCGTGGGCTTTCTTGGATATATTTGCTTCAGGGTCTGTACGACAGACTACCCAAACATATACACATTGCTTTTTTTAAATTTCTTTGTAAGTTAACATGTAACAAACTGTTTTAATTTCAATCATGCAATCCAATAAATATCAGGGCCTAGATTTTCGAAGCTCTCTTAGCGCTAAGATAGTCGTAAGTTAATGTTAATGTATGGTACTTACGACTATCTTAGCGCTAAGAGAGCTTCGAAAATCTAGGCCCTGATGCTAGTTTACGCTATAGCGATGACTATGATCTGATTTTAATAAGATTATCATCTGCAAGGCGGTGGGGTTTGTTTGTTGTTAAAACGCCGCACTCAGCATTATTACAGCTATATGGCGGTGGGTGGCGGGGTAGCTTATGGATAACATTCACTGATCGATTTCACTGTTCGATTTCTTACATTGTTATTATGTGTGAGATACGGTTCTGGGTGCCGATGTACAAAGCGATCGTAGCGCTAAGGTGATCGTAACTCCCATACCCTAACACAGACTTACGACTGGCGTAGCGCTAAGGTGATCGTAACTCCCATCCCCTAACACAGACTTACGACTGGCGTAGCGTTAAGGTGATCGTAACTCCCATACCCTAACACAGATTTACGACTGGCGTAGCGCTATGGTGATCGTAACTCCCATACCCTAACACAGACTTGCGACTGGCGTAGCGCTATGGTGATCGTAGCAGACTTACAACTATGGTGATCGTAACTCCCATACCCTAACACAGACTAACGACTGGCGTAGCGCTAAGGTGATCGTAACTCCCATACCCTAACACAGACTTACGACTGGCGTAGCGCTAAGGTGATCGTAACTCCCATACCCTAACACAGATTTACGACTGGCGTAGCGCTAAGGTGATCGAAACTCCCATACCCTAACACAGACTTACGACTGACGTAGCGCTAAGGTGATCGTAACTCCCATACCCTAACACAGACTTACGACTGGCGCTAAGCGCTACAAGGTGATCGCTAAACTCCCATACCCTAACACAGACTTACGACTGGCGTAGCGCTAAGGTGATCGTAACTCCCATACCCTAACACAGACTTACGACTGGCGTAGCGCTAAGGTGATCGTAACTCCCATACCCTAACACAGACTTACGACTGGCGTAGCGCTAAGGTGATCGTAACTCCCATACCCTAACACAGACTTACGACTAGCATAGCGCTAAGGTGATCGTAACTCCCATACCCTAACACAGACTTACGACTGGCGTAGCGCTAAGGTGATCGTAACTCCCATACCCTAACACAGACTTACGACTGGCGTAGCGCTATGGTGATCGTAACTCCCATACCCTAACACAGACTTACGACTGGCGTAGCGCTAAGGTGATCGCAACTCCCATACCCTAACACAGACTTACGACTAGCATAGCGCTAAGGTGATCGTAACTCCCATACCCTAACACAGACTTACGACTAGCATAGCGTTAAGGTGATCGTAACTCCCATACCCTAACACAGACTTGCGACTGGCGTAGCGCTAAGGTGATCGTAACTCCCATACCCTAACACAGACTTACGACTGGCGTAGTGCTAAGGTGATCGTAACTCCCATACCCTAACACAGACTTACGACTGGCGTAGCGCTATGGTGACCGTAACTCCTATACCCTAACACAGACTTACGACTGGCGTAGCGCTATGGTTGCTTTGTACAACGACACCCCGGTGTTCAGGAATAATGCTGAAGCGGAGTAATACCATCCTCATTCATTCACCAACCGAAAATGTCAAAAAAATAGTCCGAGACCTAAATAAACACAGCTAGAGATAATAATACGTTTTTGTAGGAAAGTAAACTTTATTTTGTGGGGAAGTTAATTTGTTTTTGGCAACAGCTAGCCTAGTCGGTATCTGAGTTGTCGGTTTAAACCAACACGTCATGCATGAATGTGACCTTAATTACATCCCAGCCTCGCATTCTAAATGAACAATTACGATTCGAAGCGTACTGGTCTCAGTGATGAAATCGCCTGATTTGATAAGCCGATCAGTTAATCAGGATTGTTAGGTAAGTAATTTAGGTCGATATTGCTTCTTATTGATTTATTTTAAACATTTTACGATATGTGTATGTCCGATGGGATATGTAGACGTACGTGAATTCCAATACAGTTTAGGCCACTGTAGGTTCAATGGCTCCGCAGAGGACTGTAAATCTTTGGGCGTAGTCCGAGTGACCCAGTTTAGTTTTACGCCGCTTTTAGCAATATTTCAGCAATATCACGGCGGGGGTCACCAGAAATGGGCTTCACACATTGTACCCGTGTAGCGAACCCGGGTCTTCGGCGTGACGGGCGAAGTAGGTATTGCTACAGCAAATAAAAAACAACAACTTAGAGATGGAAAAATGCTGAGTGCGGCGTTTGACAACAGGTAAGCAAACAAACAAACAAGCACATATAGAGACACCTATATATACTAAACGATAAACGGATGAGGCGGTGCGGTAACCGCATAGTATGTTTATCCCCAAATTAAGGCTACTCTGTCATGCATCAGATCGAGCATTGCGAGCATCTTTGACACTATCTGTCAGATCATGTTCGCTACATATACTAACCATCAAACGTTTAGACTCACTTAAACTGACTGACTGGGTTTGGTTTTACGCCGCTTTTAGCAATATTCCAGCAACATCACGGCGGGGGACACCAGAAATGGGCTTCACACATTGTACCCATGTGGGGATTCGAACCCGGGTCTATGGCGTGACGGGCCAACGCTTTAACCACTAGGCTTCTCCGCCGCCCCAGACCCACTTAAAGCACTCACTATATGTTATGTATATATGTATGGTTACATCGAAGAAGAATTTCTCCACTAACTTGGGGGAACCAACTGAAAACCTTATGCAGATGAATTGCACGAGGTTCATGCATCAATTTTTTGAAAAACGTGCAAATATCGTGCATGTGAACAGCTGCGTCGTGGTGTAAAGTTTTGTTACGAATTCGTCAATGAGTTTCATCATTTATTGAACTCATGACAATAATCTTTTCAATGTTACAAATGTGTTTTACAATACATCAGTTCATGTGTAAACAGTACCTTTAAACAGTATGGAAAGTTTTGCAAAATATATTTTAGAACAGTTGACTTAAGTAAATGGCTACATTTACACTAGTGAGTCTAAACTTTTGATGGGGAGTATATGTACAGTGTATGGGGTCACGGGTGGCCAACTGTCCTAGAGCTACAATTGCTTTGCAGAGAGTCTTGACTGGGGAACGCCTGAAACCTGGGTTTGTGGGCAACCGTGATTATATTTCTAGGTTTGCTAGCAGTAGCACCATACCCGTGATCGTGGGTTTAACTAAACGTCTGAGACCTGCATTACTTCGGGGCTTCCTCCCACATTAAACTGACATGCCATGATATAACTGGAATGCTGTGAAAAGCGGCAGTAAACCCAACTCACTCACTCACTCATTCAAACGCAATACATATATTCGAATGGATTATTCATGTACGAAACTCACGCTGCTTTGAAATATTTGTTTAAGACGTTTACGAAATTCCGTTAACATGTTGTATAGAACAGAATATGTGACCTTAAATTCACCCTAGTGATGTTTAAATGGCCCCCCAAAATAATCACAAACACAATTTTTAGTGGTACGTCAACTGATTGTCAACTTACCTGGTACTGTCTCCCTTTTCAGGCTTTCATCCAATAAAACGACACCTTAATATCACGTGACCAGAAGACAGGTATAGGCGTTTGAACATGAGGATTCGCCTATAAACAATGCTTCTAAAGTGGAAATATATACTGCCCTTAGTGGCACTATGTGTTCATGTAACAGTGTCGGAACGATCACGTAAGTTATTCGATGACCAATGATGTTGACTATTCCTTGATTTGATTTCTTACCTGCCAGGTGAGGTCGCACCTGTAATGACCGACATTCCAAAATGGCGGATTAGCTCTATTTACTCCGATGCAACATGGATTTACAACGTTCAGAAGTAATCTAGACACTGAAGGCATTTTAGCTGTCATGATGCGTGATTTCTGTTGTCATTACTATGCATATTTTCTTATAGTTAATGTCTAAATGTGCCTCTTGACTTAAAATGCACCTGCATATTTGTCGTGTTACTCAGCATGATTTTAGGGTCAAGCGAATCCCGGAAATGAAGCGACAACTCCAAAACGCCTTGATGAAAAGAGTTTTAGTCTTTAGTTTTATGATTATTGTATACAGTTAGTGACATAGTTACATTTCAATATCATACATAAAATATTTTATTACCTCATTCATATATCAATGTCAAACGTAGACATCGAGTTTCACAGTCGGTCAGATGTCAAGAATGATTTATGACTGTCGTACAGTTGTCATGTATTGGAATGGGGTATTATGCATGTTAGCTGTGTGTGTGAACTCTGGGTTATGCATGACTCTTACTATTACACAACTCTAACCTGTCCTATTGTGGATTCATTATGTGAGAAACATCCAATTAGTTAATTTTGAGTAATGTCATCAATTGATCATGTAACACAGTTTATTTGAAAATTAGTGGAGAGTGATCATAAATATACCATACACATATATTGTTTCACTGAAATTTGGCATCTACATTATTTTGACTAAAGTGAAAAGCTAAAATTTCAAATTTCATAATCAGTGTTTGATGTATGCTAGTCATTGCTCATAGCATGATATTTACCTTTCATGCCTTCAATAACCCATGCTTGTCGTTGGAGACAACTAACGAGATCGGATGGTTCGGTTCCCTGACTTGGTTGCCACATATCATATCCCCATTGCATAGAACGATGCTCATGCCGTTGATCACTGGATTGTCTGGTCCAGACTTGATTATTTACAGTCTGCCACTATAAAGCTGGTATATTGCTGAGCTTGTCAGTTCACAATAAACATGCTTCATTAAAAGTACAGGTAGCCACCTTTCCCACGGATGGTAATTCAACATACAGGATTCTTTCCCCAGGGCATATCAGCAACCGATGATCATATTAATTCCGTATCTTTCAACTGTTTCTAGGTTTTAAGCACCCCATTCCATGATTGTAGGGGGAATGTGACAAAAAGCCATGATAACTGGTCCTCCCACAGTTGAACTGACACGCCGGGATATAACTGAAGTCGAGTTAATAGTGGAGTTAACCAAACACACTCACTCACCCACTTACTCATGTTCAATTACAGATTACAGCTGTCTTTTATTTGTCATTTTAACCATTGCAATATGTATAATGTTCCCATGTCTGGTTACTAGGTGACGTCTATGAGTATGATGAATGCCGTGCTGAGTACCAGGAACCACTTGGCGTTGCCTCGGGAAAGATTTCTGATGGCGCCATGTGGTCGTCTACCAACAACAACAAAAGACCTGCAAGCCGAGAGCGGCTGAATGACCCGACAGGTAAGGAGACTTATTTCCCTTGTGCTGTACCAGTGATATTCAGGGGTGGAAATAACTCTAAAATTGTTAGTGTAGTCCGGAACAGTGGCACATGTAAAATCACTTGCCCTGATAATTATTCCACTATACCTGCTGCTTTCTTGTTGATTTTTAAAATAAACAACAAAATAAACATTGGAAAGTCAACTCGATACCAGTACAGAGTGATATACAATTTTGCTTTCCCGACTGAAAAAAACACTGGACTCAAGCATCGGGAAATGGGTTATGTCCACCCCTGTGTTAAAGCATTCTCTCATCACACTTAAGACCTGGGTTAGTTTCCCCACATGAATACCATGTGTGAAGTCCATTCTGGTGTCCCCACTGTGAATTGCCGGAATTTTGTTAAAAGCGGCATGAAACCATACTCACTCACAGATTATGCACTGACTATTGTGATATAGCTGGAATGTTGCTGAGTGCTGTTTTGGACTACAGGAAATGCACCTGCACTAGTAGAATCAATTTCATTCCTGAAAACTAGGATTAGGCAGAAATGTCTCCCCTAATCCAAACTAAGTGCTGTTGGCAGGTATTTATTTTATTCATAATTAAAAGAGTTGTTCAAAGCAAATTGACAATCTGTTGCTTTTGTGTTTGTCAAAATCTGCTTGTAGGTCAGATTTTAATTACCCTAATTTCGACTGTTTCAGGGGCGTGGACTGCAGGTACCCAGAATGCATTTCAGTACCTGGGGGTTGACCTTGGCGCCCGATACTTTGTCACAGCAGTGGCTACTCAAGGTCGTCAGGGAAGTGATGAATTCATCACAGAATACTTTTTAGAATATTCTGATGATAGAAACACATGGAGGAGATATACCAATGAATATGGCATTCCAGAGGTGAGTAACCCCTATTCCCTATGGTAGGATAAGACTAAGTTTGGTCTTGGGATCCCATGTTTGTCGCAAGAGGTGGCAATCAGAATACTGTGGCTAATCCCCTAGGAAAGGGATTTGGGTTAAAATTTGCCTTTAGCATCAAATCTAAAAGGCAGCAAACCGAATGTGTGGTTAAATTCATTGACCATGCGGATAAATGTGATTATATCCATTATACAGCATCTCACCATTTATAAGTTTTCATACCAAGAATGAGAGGGTAGTGCAGGGGGAGTCACCTTGTAATACCAAGCATTGTGTGTGAGACATTGGGAGACAAATAGAGGTGTGACGATACAGAAATTTCACGATACGATACATATCGCGATATCTTGGAACGATACGATTCGATTCAATACTTATCACGATATGCTATCTTCAGTTATTTTGTTAAAAAGGTATCTTTTAATAGCAAGTACCAGTGTAAATTTTGACAACTGTCAATTCTAACAACTTTAAGGTCAATGATACGACGATACGAAAAAAAGTATCGATATATTTATCGTCAGATAAAATATCATGATTATCGATACTACGATATATCGTCACAGCTCTAGAGACAAACACATTCTTATTGCGAATATGTGGATCAAATATGCGTTGGTGACATGCTTTGTTTATGGTCATTCTTCAGAAATTATATTTGCATCGATTTTGAAGGTTTTACAGGTAGTCACCCAATACACATGCTTTATCGCCAGCAGTATATGGTACATTATATTTGTCACTCGATCGTTGAGACAGACCACTTTACAGCTAGAATATTTGTTAAGTGTAGCATCAAAGTGCTCCAGAAGTATAACTGTCTGATTTAGAAACAATTATATTTTTTATTTTGTGGCATTATGATCCTCAATACCTAAGGGCCTATTCGATTATGCTAAACCGGTTTTGGTTTCTGGAAAACCATGCACTCGATTATGTCGAAACCTAAAACTGGGTTCTGAAACTTCGAAACCATCTCCGAGGCAGGTTTCGCAGTTTCTGTTTCGCGTTTCCTCACAACAAAACATGGCGGAAACGAAGTTCAGGTGATCTTGGTGGCAAAAAAGAGTTATTAAGCAGTTTCTGTAACCAAAACAATGATAAAATTCAACAGAGAACTTGGAAAATATTATTTAAAACCCCAGTCTATTGAACATGACTATTTTATATAACATGTATACATATAATTGCTTGTGTCAGTATAATTACATAAACGCAAATATTTACTTCCAAAAGCATCTCATCTCTTTATTATTTGTTCATTCCCTGATAAAATGACAAAAAATATATCCTTCGGCAATGCTGTCATCCAATTCCTTCCACATATATAGTAGCTGAGACATTCTTTTTGTATCCATTTTGAAACCAGATGGTGAAACCATCCACTCATTTATAAAACTAGAAACTAGTTTCACTTTGAAACCATGTACCCGAAACTGGACACTCGTTTATAACAAGAAAAACCAGTTTCAGAAACCAAAACCAGTTTCGCAATAATCGAACAGGCCCTAAGTTAGATTATATTGTTGTGCTATAGTGGTGGTCCGATTAATTGAAATCATCGAAGATTGGTCGCAATGACAAAACGACCAAGCAATCGATCATTTTTTTCTCATAATCGAACACAATCAATTTTGGAACACTTGTTTGCAATAACAATATTTTTCACAAGGTTGGTTTTGTCTGTTAGATTTCATTAGCACTACAAGCTCTTCCAATTCATGATTGAATTTATTTTAAAGACTCCATGAAATTCATGTTCCTAACCTGCTAGTCATCCTTTAAAGATGTGAAATTTGCAAATGCATTTTGTGCATGACAGATGTGCTATAGTGATAATGATGAGGGATGAAGATCACAACCCTGCTTAACACCTTCACAGGCTTGTATGATTCAGTCACTGCTGGTTTAACCTGTCATGTAACAAAATGTACAACAGGAAATAATAAAGGTGAAACGACTGCACATTCAGTTCAAATAATCACGAAATCGTGTCATCGCTAAGCGTGTGTATCCTATTTCAGATGTTTGTCGGTAACGACAATGGCTGGCAGATAGTCCAGAACACCCTCCACTACCCCATCGTCGCCCAATACGTCCGCTTCAACCCGAAGCGCTGGAGTATGTTCATCTCCATGAGGATTGAGGTCTACGGCTGCATCTTCAGTAAGTATACTGGACAAAACAGGGATCACAAATATTTCGGGCGATGTGTATATGAAATTTTGTGCTCCATCCTCACTACCAGAACAAAAACAAAAACCACACCCCCAAAAATATTTTTGGTACCAACTCATAATTTATGGCTAGAGGGGGATGATGATCATTTTCATGGAGAAGCATGTACAATGTGAATGACCCCCCTAAAATTTATGTTCAAAGTAAGTGACCCTGCCCTGCATGTCATGTACAAAATCAATGACCCCCCTCCCTTCCCATTATTTTTAAGTATAATTTTCGAATATTTCTATGTACAAAATTGCTGACCCCCTGTACATGCGTTCAAAATTGATGGGAACCCCACCCCTCCCATAACAAAATGGGTGAACCCCCTTAAAATCATCATCACCCCCAACCCCCAGCCATAAATTATGGATGTTCCCTTAGTATACAATGGTAATGTTTTAAAGTACAGGGCCCTGTACCTCAAAGCGATCGTAGCGCTATGACAGTCGTAAGTCTATGTTAAAGTATGGGAGTTACGATCATCTTTGCACCATGATCGCTTTGTGGAATGGGGCCCAGGCCAACACTTTATGCCATTTCAGCCGCAGATGAAAGGAAACTTTTCAAATTCATATTCTTGTAGTTGTCAATAATGGTTGGAAGTTTTAGAGGTGGCCTGTATTCCAGTGATGTCTTGACCAATAAAGGAAACATGTGTTAATGATTAATTACTTTGCTTCCTTTGTTATGAATTTCACCAAAGTCGGAAACCTGTCTCCTGCGTCACTTTGGGCTTCCCTTCTCCATTATGTTGCCACCTTGATATGACTGTAATACTGTTCAAAGTTGGGGGTGGTGGGGTAGCCTAGTGGTTAACACATTTGGTCACAATACCGAAAACCAGGGTTTAATTCCCTACATGGGTACACTATGTGGAGCCCATTTCTGGTGTCCCCAATCGTGATATTGCTGAAATGTTGCTAAAATTGACGTAAAACTATACTCACTGTTCAAAGTTGAACCCAACTCACTCATTCTCGCTCTTCTTCCAGCTCCATATGTCGCTTCCTTCACCGAAACCAGCTACATGCAATTTGACCTAAGTCGCAAACCTGTGCCGTCTGAGACAGACACCCTGGAGCTCCGCTTCAAGACGAACAAGCCAGACGGAGTGGTGTTCTATGCCAGTGGGAACCAGGGAGATTATATTGTCATAGAGATGAGGAGGGGATACATGTACTTCAGGATAGATCTTGGTGAGTGAGTGCTTGCTGAAATCAGGCTCTATGAACAATAAGGTTATTCAGCAGAAACACTCTTTTGAATCTAGGCTTTATCATGTTTATTCCGGAAGTTTGCCATTTTTAAAATCAGATGTTTACTTTGATCTATTCATTTTAATCTACGATTAATGATGAATCTGTCATCATTTTTTCAGATTTATAGAAAATGTATCATGACTGCAACATTTGTGGCTGAACCATGTGAACTGTCTTTCAATTTACCCTGATAACTTATATTTGATAACCATTTACTACATGCTGGAGTTGTAACTGCTTCAGGGGCGGTGGGGTAGCCTAGTGGTTAAAGCGTTGGCTCGTCACGCCGAAGACCCGGGTTTGAATCCCCACATGGGTACAATGTGTGAAGCCCATTTCTGGTGTCCCCCGCCGTGATGTTGCTGGAATATTGCTAAAAGCGGCGAAAAACCAAACTCAGTCAGTCAGTATTACTGCTTCTGACAACCCACATGATTTCATGGATAGTACTGCCATGAAAGTGGAAGGCCGGTGGTTAGATTCCCAGCCACATACAAAAACTGATCATAAGGTTGCACCTGTTGCCTGATGTTAGGCATGAAGGGGTAAAACAAGAGCTTTTTATCTCGGAGTCAGCATACTGTGTCTGAGTTTGATATCATGTTAAACTGTGGTGTGGTAACACTCTGGGCTGACCTCTAAACCAGCAAAATTCTGGAGAAGTACCAGTTTCTACAAGTAGAAACGGATGCACACAAACACATAATCACACATGTACATATATCACCATCTAAGTGCAGAAATCTTGATTGTGATGTTACAACCATTACTTCCGGAGAGCGGAAGGCGCGGGTTCGATCCCCGACCGCGTCATACCAAAAGATGTTAAAATATGGTACTTGTTGGTCCCTGCCTGGTGCTCGGCATTAATGGGTACAACAAGGACTGGTCGGCTCGGAGTCAGTATAATGTGTCTGAGTGGGGTATTCATGCTTCACTGCGGCATGGTGTCTCAGTGGGCTAGCACTATAAAACCAGCTTCAGTCTGGGCTAGTACAAGCATCCGCACATTCACATACACAAGCATGCCAACATATGAGCGAAAAATTCTCAAGCACGATTTAAAACCCAATTTCACCTCACCTCACCTAAAAGAGCAAGAATTCCTAATGTTGATATTGTCTTGGATTGGAATACAATACCAAAGAAACACAAAAAACATTCTTCTTATAATGCGTTTATTCATATGAGTGAAATATTCTCCAGCACAACGTAAAACCCATTATACTGACTTCGAACTAACCAGTCCTTGGTGTACCCATTAATGCCGAGCGCCAGGCAGGGACCAACAAGTACCATATTTTAACGTCTTTTGGTATGACGCGGTCGGGGATCGAAGCCGCGACCTTCCGCTCTCTGGGCGGACGCTCTAACCAATACACCACGGAGGCGGTCTATTGACAAAAAGGTGCAATGACTATATATATGACTTGATGGTATTTGCTACCAGGGTCCACTCAGACAAGCCGTGGTCGTACTGAGGTGATCGGAGGCAGTCTTCTTGATGACCACCAGTGGCACGATGTCGTCATCACTCGAGAGAAGAAGAAGCTGAAGGTCGTAGTGGACAGACTCGTCAACGAGGTGGAAACCAACGGACTCTTCTACAGGCTAGACTTGGATAAATATGTGAGTGGAAGGAAAAAGGTTTTCATCCCCACTTATTAGCAGGAAATTTAGGATTGTTGAAAAGGTCCTTGGTAGATCCTGAGTAAGATTACCACAGTGATTGTAGAGAACTACAGCTCGTTCAGCTTGACCTGAGCTACTCTACATATGCATGACCCGGGAGGTCAAATTGCACCAACGACAGGTCGGTTAACTTCTTTAAATAGGGGAGCAAAGATGGTTATTAATGTTGCGTTCGTGCAAAACATGCATGCATGGATTCGTTACAAAACTTGTCCCGGAAAACAACACTTCTGAAAAACCCCAATCATTTCATGTTTTAATTGAGTTGTTTGGTTTACTAACTTTACAACGTACAGACGTCAGTTACTTTCACAATCCGATTCACTCTCACTGTCACTCTCTACACCGAGTTCAATTATCACTTTTTCTATTTCATGTTCAACTCCAATATGTTTGAAGCTTCATTTTAAAAGAAAGTTAGGATATTGCTGATGATTTCTCTCGACACTGATGTGTAAAATGGCGACCTTGTCTTGGCTGTTCGGACATGTTGACAATCAACTGACAAAGGGGCACCCCTTCCCAATAATAGACCCAACCAGGTGTGACACGGTCATGCAATTCATTAGTATGCACTTGATCAGGTCAAGCCGAACAAGCTGTAGCATTTATTAATACTAGCAACATGTACACTACAGAATATTATAAATTTGTTTAGAATCCCATCCAAATTTATTGGACAATTATGCAGCTGCATAACCAAAAGGAAGTTTTACATGATTTCAGTACTCAGTACAAATTTGTTCAATGCTTCTTTTTTCTATTTATAGTTGTTCATTGGAGGGGTCCCTTACTTCAACCAGGAAGGGATTGAGGTTAAATATAATTTTGTGGGCTGTGTGGAAAATGTCAATTTCAACGGTGCCAAGCTCTTGGAGGATGCTCGGGATGGATCATCTGCTGAACTGAAGGGGGGAGTGGTTGCTTTCAGATGTGGGGTAAGTGTGCTGACTGTTCAAATCTAGCAGGGTTGACTTTTGGCAGCGTCTGAAATACCTGCCTGCCCGACCGCCCGGGACGGGTTGTTTTCAAAACGGACTGACAGATTCTCAAATTCACCTGCCCGACAGTTGGGTTAAAATTTAGACATGTATATGAAGATATTTTGTGGACAGGTATACTTTGGTTCAGGGCTGGCAAGTTTACATCTAACCAGCCGTGTGGTCTGGCTGAAATTTTTGGGAGTTTCATACCCTGCTTTTGGGGCTATTTCCTTTACTGTAGTGGTATTGTGATGGTATTTCATGAATTTTAAGAACTGATACTTATATTAAACAATGTAATAGAAATGAATGAGGTATTGCTGACAAAGTCAAAGTCAGCCATTTTCCTCCCTGTCAAACCACAAAGGGAAGTAACTCTGATCTGAAGATGACAGGTTTGAAAGTTGACTAGAAACAGTTTCTATGTGAATGTTTTTTATTTTATAATGGCTGTTAAAACCATCAGTGTCATGTAGTGTTGACAAACTATGAAAAAAACTGTAGTTTTGTAGTGCTTGAATTAATTTACCTTTCATGTCTCGCAGATTTCTTCATCAATACCTGTCACGTTCCCGACAACCAGATCGTACCTCAAGTTGTCAGGCCGAGATGCTGGCGGGCCAATCCGAGTTAGCTTTGACTTCCGTACCCACGATGAGAATGGCATGCTGATGTACCACGAGCTGCAAGAAGCAGGAAGCGGAGTCACTGTGAGTGTTTCAGAATCAGGAGTACCCATGAAGATCCGGGTTAGAATTGGTCGTCAGTAACCCATGCTTGTCGTAAGAGGCGACTAACAGGATTGAGTGGTCAGGTTTGCTGGCTTGGTTGACACATGTCATCGTATCCTAGTTGTGTAGATCGATGTGCATGCTGTTAATCACTGGATTGTCCGGTCCAGATTCAATTTTTAAAGGCTGTTGCATATAGCAGGAATATTGCTGAATGCTGCGTTTAAACAACAAACCAACCCAATCACTGTCAGGAGATGCTTTAGATATGCATCTCTATATGTTTAAAAAAATAGGCACTTGTGGGAAAATATGGTTCTTAAATCCTCAAAGAATTTACTTCTCATATCAGGTGCATGAATTGTGTTCCTTAGTGAAACAATTTCTTGGTAAAGGTAGGGGCCGTGCGGTAGCCTAGTGGTTAAACCATTCGCTCGTCACGCCGAAGACTCGGGTTCGATTCCCTACATGGGTACAATATGTGAAGCCCATTCGTTTCAACCGCCGTGATATTGCTGGAATATTGCTAAAAGCCGCGTAAAACTAAACTCACCCACCATCTTGGTAAAGGTAGAGCATCAAAGTGTATTGTGTATTTGGTTTGTGTGACGATACTAACACGGAAATCATGAGTTAATGATTAGGGGGTTTTTTTTGCAGATATTAAGAAACTGTGTGATTGCTTTATTTCCAGCTTATTTTATAAAAAACCAATCAGGTGTAGACTCATTTTCTCCTAAGTAGGCTAAAGTAAATATTATGTATTATAGTTAACTACAACATTACTTTATTGGACCCATTAAGTCAGTGGGTTGGGTTCCTCTGACCCCCAGTTTTACAGGTCAAGGGCAAGAATTGGTCTTCAGTAACCCATGCTTTTCATAAGAGGCGACTAATGGTATCGGGTGGTCAGAATCACTGATTTGGTTGACACATGTCATCGTATCACAAATGCGTTGAACGATGTTCATGATGTTGATCACTGGTTTCTCTTGTCCAGACTGGATTATTTACAGACCGCCATATAGCTGGACTACTGAGTGTTGAGTTAAAGCAACAAACCAAACAACCAGTAGGTCAAGGTAAAAACCTTGTGTTGGACAATGTTTCAGGTATCGCTGGACAATGACGGCTACGTGGCGTACAGGGTGGTGTCACGGTCTGGACAGATCATCGAGGATGTTGTTAGAAACAGTAAGTAGAGATTGCTTGAAACGATCCTTCAGTTCGATCTTCTGGGTTGGGCATGGATATTATTAAAAAGAAAAAAGTGCTTGATGTTATGTGTTCAAAGTGATTATGGGCACTGTGAGATGAAAAAATAGAGAATCACTGTTGGGTTAGATCTAGTGGTGTTCTGATTAATTGAAATAATCAAAGATTGGTCGAAGTGACCAAACGACCAAGCAGTCGATTGCATTTTCTCATCATCGAACCCAAACGTTTTTCGAACTGCTGTTTTAGTCTTTGAAACACTTGACGATGGAACATATCTTCGAAGTTGTCAGGGCCTGAAAACTTGTTTAATTCTTAAAAAACTCACTTCACTAACTGAAAAGCCATGACTGAATATTTCTTGAAGACCCCAGAAGGTTTATGTTCATGATATATCAACATCACTTTAAAGTAGCAAGGTGCATCATGTTATACATATCTGCAATAACAACCTGGATAGGAAAATCTGAAATTGACGCTAACCAATTTTTATCGATGATTGTTCGTTGGTAATGAAGCAATCATCAATTATGAGATTTCAACCAATTCCCAACATTAGTTAGATCAAGAACAGTCCTGGACATACATGTGTGGCCATTGCAGCCCTCAAAGGGTCAAGATCCTTCTCTCTGCTGTGATTGAAGAGACCATCAGAATTTGACATGATATTATGCAGTGATGAAAGTACCATTAGAACTGCCTTTGTGAATGTCGTCTGAATTGTGGTGTCAAGTTGCCTCCCTTGGGCATGCCAGGATCCCAGATTTTGAACTAATGATTAGCGCTTCATACGTTAATTATCACCATACCATGATGGGTTTTACCAATGCTAAGAACATGATGAAAATATATGCTGGACCAGCATTGAACTGAACTCACAAACCGATTTATGCATATTTAATTGTAGCGGACATTTTGAGTGCTACGAGAGGTTTCACCGATGGCCTGTGGCACACGTTTTCCATCTACATTGACACCACCAAGGTCAACTGCACCGTCGACCGCAACGTCAAGGTCTCCAACAGGGCACTGGATATTGGAGCATCTACTACTTACTTCATAGGTCAGTGATCTTATTCATGCTTTTTTTAATCATGAGATGTCAAACGTTTTCCTTAATCTCTTTCACAACAATTTGTGTATGTGTGATCAGAAAATATCAAACGTTTAGTCTCTTCAGAAACTTTCCTGAATACTTAATACTTAGGTGTTGTCTAGCTAGGTGTGTTTGACATTATGTGCATACTGTAAGGAGGTGGGGTGGTGTTCAGTTTGATAGGGCACACCAGTTGCCTTTAGTACCAATTATCTGCAGAGTTGCTTCCCCTGAAACCTGTTATATCATGTTTGAACCCAGATTTTCCTTGACTTTTTTCCTCGGTTTCAATGCACAATTGGTTTACTCAATTTTGATTCCGAGCCATGAAGATCTAGGTCAGAATTGGTCTTAGCAAACCATTCTGTTGTAAGAGACAACTAACAGGATTTGGTGGTCAGGCTAGTCCCCAATCGGAATTGGTAAATGTCTCAAATATTTATCAGCTCACTATGCAGCAATATGTCTGAAGTATTTCACTTTTTAAGAGAAACCAGTATAGTTCAAAAGCATATTACATACAATATGTTTTTCTTCCAGGTGGCCAGGACATTTCCAATGGTTTCCGTGGATGTCTTCCGAATCTGGAGGTTGCTGCCAGAGTTGTCAACCTGGCCACGTTAGAACAGGAGAGCATCTTTGATGCTGAAGTAGGAACATGCTCTATTCGAGATAGGTGAGTCCTGGCATTATGGTGATATACTAGTGTTGTAAAGAGTCACTTATTCAAGGGATGAAAATAATCATTTTATTGATATTCCCCCTTCCTCCTCTACTCCTCTTTCTCCTGCTCTTTGTCATCCTATTCCTCTTCCTCCTTCTTCTGATGCTTCTTCTCCTATTCCTGATGTTCTCCTCCACTATTGCTCTTCTTCCTTTTCCTCCTACTCCTATTCTTCTTCCCCCTACTCTTCCTATTGCTCTCCTTCCTCTTTCTCCTATTCCTTTTCCTGCACCTCCTAATGCGCCTATTCCTGATGCACCTCTACCTCCTCCTCCTCCTATTCGTCTTCCTGATCCACCTCTCTCTCCTCCTGATCCTCCTTCTATTCCTGATGCACCTCTACCTACTCCTCCTATTCGTCTTCCTGATCCACCTCTTTCTCCTCCTGATCCTCCTCCTATTCCTGATGCACCTCTACCTCCTCCTCCTCCTATTCGTCTTCCTGATCCACCTTTCTCCTCCTGATCCTCCTCCTATTCCTGATGCACCTCTACCTCCTCCTCCTCCTATTCGTCTTCCTGATACACCTTTCTCCTCCTGATCCTCCTCCTATTCCTGATGCACCTCGACCTCCTTCTCCTCCTATACGTCTTCCTGATCCACCTCTTTCTCCTCCTATTCCTGATGTTCCTCCTCCTCCTCCTCTTTCTCTTTCCCCTGCTCCTTTTCCTATTCCTTCTCCTAATGCTCCTTCTTCTATTCCTGATGCTCCTCTTCCTCCTTTTCGTACTTCTTCTATTCCTCTTCACGATCCTCCTCCTCCTCCTCCATTTTTCTTCTAATGACTATCATTATTGCTTGTTTCCAGGTGTACCCCAAATCCTTGCGAACACAGTGGCAACTGCTCCCAGAACTGGGACAACTTCTACTGCAGGTGCGACAACACTGGTTACAAGGGGGAGATGTGTCATATTTGTGAGTACCCACTAGCATCATACAGTTCAGTAAAGTTGCATACCAGCTATAATGTTATATGTCACCTCTATTTGCTCTTTTAAATTAAATCAGTAACCCTTTTGACTTTGTCTCAGGACAAGGGTGCTCTAATCAGTGGTGTGATATATTGTTATCCTCAGTTACTATGGCAACATGTGTAGTCATAGCTTGAGTCTTTTTCACTGGATGGTTTATGGAGGTATGGGGTATTAGAACTTTGCGCTATAAAACTCAGACATTGGATCTCTGACATTTTAGATGGTGTTTAAATATAAAGATCCAACAAATTTATTCTCTCTGTACTCAGTGTAGGAAAGATAGCCCGTCCCAACGTCCGAGATGGGTGAATTTTGTGGAGGACGGGTTAAAAAAAAATCTGGTCCGTCCTCATGTCGGGTCAGTTTTCGCAAACCAATGACATAATCATTATTATATTATAACCTTTTTGAATATTTACTGCCAAAAGATACTAGAATAATCAAACAGATAAAATTATCGCAAACGAAATCGATGAGATATGTTTGCTATAAGAACAGAGTTCTCTCCCTTAGCTTCTTGAAACGAGTTTAGTAAGGAAGTGCGTGATTGGCCGGTTGTCACAGAATCAACGAATAGGAAAACGTGTTTCTTGTTTCCCCCAATTTCAAACCAAAATGGCGCGACCCTCATCGGTCGGTCTGCTGCTATGACTGAGCGAATTTACTCTTATTTTAGTCAATGTTGAATGTGCAACTGGCAAGGATGCAGATTCAGACTATGACTCTGACTTTTCAGATCTTCATGGAGATGTTGATGACTTGTCTGAAGACTAGTTCTGTCATGTTGTAACCAGATGATTCCACTAGGAGAGATTCAACAGTCCAAGCTCTCTGTGTGCATATTAAATTATAGCTTAAAATAAAACAAACCAGTTTTAAGTCTTGAAATGGTGTTTTATTTATATTTGGAGGACAGGCTAGATTTTGGCAGGACTGGTAAATAATTTGACCAGTCAGTCCTGTGGACAGGCTAGATTTTCTACATCTTTCCTACACTGCGTACTGCATATTACTATTTCTTGCAAGGTTTTTATGTAACAAAGGTTTCTGCTTTGCAAGATTCTGAAAAAATGTCTTATTCTGTGTGTGTGTACGTGTGTGGGTGTGCTTAATGGGTATTTTGAGACATCATAGAAAGGAGAAAAGGCAGGCTGCAGATTGGAAGGAAATAATTTGTTTGTGTATTCTCCACATAGCTGCTCACCATATCTCCTGCACCATGCACAAGATGTACTCCGAGACCATTGAAGGGGTCGAAGAAGCCATCATTGACCCTGATGGCTCCGGACCACTCAGGCCTTTCAAAGTCATGTGTGAAATGAGTAAGTTGCATGAACTCTTAGATTCATTAAACTCAGGACCCTGTAAAAACCCTATTAGAATTGTGTTGTCTGCTCTTTATAGGTACAGTTATGTTTGAAGCCACAGTACCTCCTCTGTTACCCATTGAGATCCAGGTTAGATTTGATCTTCAGTAACCCTTGTTGTAAGAGGCGACTAATGCGATCGGGTGGTCAGGCTCACTGACTTGAATGACACATGTCACCATATCCCAAATGCGTACATCGATGCTCATGCTGTTTATCACTGGATTGTCTGGTCCAGACTTGATTATTTACAGACCGCCTATGTACATGGGTACAATGTGTGATGCCCATTTCTGATGTAGCCCGCCGTGATATTGTTGGCGTAAAACCAAACACTCTCACTCATTTAAGATGATGCTGGAAGACCAGTGACTTCCATCAGCCACGACTCTGAGAGCTGGATCACGGTCAATGGCTACCAGGAACCAGGGTCCTACATCCGTTTCCTCAACTATGTCACGGGCCTTCCCGAGCTGACCAACGTCATCGAGAGATCGTCCAGCTGCAGGCAGTACATTGAATACAGCTGCTTCAATTCCAGACTGCTGGCTAAACCAGGTGAGAACTTCACAGTATACAGATTGATTTGCGAGTTCTGTTTGGTATGGGGCGTTGGGTAAGCCTGGTGGTTAAAGCGTTCGCTCGTCACGCCGAAGACTCGGGGTCGATTCCCCACATGGGTACAATTTGTTAAGCCCTTTTCTGGTCTCCCCTGCCATGATATTGCCGGAATATTGCTAAAAGCGGCATAAAACTAAACTCACTCACTCATTCTGTTTGGTATATATAGAACTGTTCTTAAATCAGGGAGAGCTTCTATGGATGTCAACTTCTCATTTATGAGTGAAACAATGTTTCAGTTAATGCTTGTTCTTTCATCAGGTGAATGAATTTGGGAAGCTGTGAGTGAGCTTATGTATATGTATGCGAGAACAATAAAAGTAGAGAGATAACATTAAGATAACATAAAGGTGGAAACTTAACAGGGAGAAGCCAACAGTAGACTCTCACTGATTGGTGATAGGACTGGACAATTGGCAGCCAGGAATTAAAATAGCACTTTTGGTAATGGAGGCGGAAGATCATTAAAATAGCACTGATTGGTAATGGAGGCAGAAGATAATTAAAATAGCACTGATTGGTAATGGAGGCGGAAGATAATTAAAATAGCACTGATTGGTAATGGAGGCGGAAGATAATTAAAATAGCACTGATTGGTAATGGAGGGAAGATAATTAAAATAGCACTGATTGGTAATGGAGGCGGAAGATAATTAAAATAGCTCTGATTGGTGATAGCACTGGGCAAATGGAATACCGCTGGATAGTTACCTAGATGGATCTGGATTAAGTCGCAATCACTGACAGATATGTTCCCTGGTCAGAGTTCATGGCTACACAAAATGTTCATAGCGTTCATAAGCGTACATTAAAGTATAGAGTTACGATAGGTCATCGTGTTACGAATGCTTTGTGGATTAGGGTCCCGATGTCAATGGCGTCTTAAACTTTTTTGGTGACAAGTTGTTGGTAGACAGAACTTTGGTAACTTCCCACATAATGGTTAGACTTGAAATGGTTTTGCTGAAATCTTTGGTGATTGAGGATGTTTGGTCTTGCTAGTTGACAAATGTCTCATGTTGTTTGTGTTGAATTTCTCAGGATGCAGACCTTGGACATCTGTCAACAATCAGGACTTATTCATTTGGTTACAGCGTTACAGTCAACAGCTGGGCTGAATGGTTGATAGTGTTTACGAGACACAAAAATATGCGTCCAGTACACACAAATGTAGAGAATGGACGCAGAAAATTCACTGCGTCCAAACGGAGCAAAATATTATTCATGTACCCACAACACATCCATGAGTTTCCTAAGTGTTTGGATGAGCAGTTACATGCATCATTTCACCCGTCAGTCCACATGATCAATTATTCATTCCAGGCTCCAAGGAAATTATCAAAACGTACAGTTCTCTACACTCCTACTTCACAGGCCCTCATATTGTCATCAAGTACCCTTAAAACTAATAATCGGCACCCCTGATGTTTGTCGACGTAAAACCCTAACTTTACATGTGACGTTCTTGGTTTCAGCTGATACATTAGAGAGATCCTTTGCGTGGTGGGTCGGCCGCACCTACCAACCCATGTACTACTGGGGCGGCGCTGCTCCTGGCTCCTTCAAGTGTTCATGTGGTCTAGACGAGAAGGGCTGCATCGGCACCAGCGAAACCTGTAACTGTGATGCTCAACAGCTGGTGCAGACCTCGGACAAGGGGTACCTGGTGCACAAGGATTACCTCCCAGTCCTGGAGCTCCACATGGGGGATACTGGCACTGTGACGGACACAAAGTCTGGGGCACATAGAGTCGGGAAGCTGGAATGTGAAGGCGATGGTATGTTGTTCACTTTCACAAGTACCCGTGTTAGAATTGATCCTCAGTAACCCATGCTTGTCGTAAGAGGCGACTACCGGGATCGGGTGTTCAGGCTCGTTGACACACAATTGCGTGCATGGATGCTTATGCTGTTGATCACTGGATTGTCTGGTCCAGACTCAATTATTACAGACCGCTGCCATATAGCTGGAATATTGCTGAGTGCGTGAAACTTAACTCACTCACTCACTTTCACAAGACGACTATATGTGTGAATGCAGTTTTACCTGGTCAACAGTGAGCACATTGTCAGTACAGGTTTTGCAATGGGAGTTGTCTCCCCTGCATAATACTCTCAAACAACTATTCTTTAATTGAATTTGGTATGAACTTGTGCTGCATTATACATGTTGCACTTGTGATGTAATAATGACAGGAATTTATCTAGATTTCCAAGTAGTAATATTTATCATAACATAAACTGGCAATTTTTGTTGTTGCAGTTTTGGATTTTGTACTGACAGTTGTAGCCATTCATGAATCCAGATAACATATTCACAAAGATCTCTTCTGAGACACATCTTGGTGACTTACAGAAAACAAATAAAGAATGTGTATTAAAAATTGAGTGCACTATTGTCAATCCAAGAAAAGAACAATGATCAACCCAAAGAAAGACCTGTCTAAGTGTGGCACAGTGATATTAGTGAGAATGTGTCAATATGGCCCCTTTTTGTCAATCACCGCCTCCGTGGTGTAGTGGTTAGAGCGTCCGCCCGGAGAGCGGAAGGTCGCGGGTTCGATCCCCGACCGCGTCATACCAAAAGATGTTTAAAATATGGTACTTGTTGGTCCCTGCCTGGCGCTCGGCATTAATGGGTACAACAAGGACTGGCCGGCTCGGAGTCAGTATAATGTGTCTGAGTGGGGTATTCATGCTTCACTGCGGCATGGTATCTCAGTGGGCTAGCATTATAAAACCAGCTTAAGTCTGGGCTAGTACAAGCAGCCGCACATACACACGCATGCACGTCATATGAGCAAATATTCTCAAGCACGACGTTAAACCCAATTTCACCTCACCTTTTTGTCAATCCTAGCAGGGGCGGTTGGGTAGCCTAAGAAGTGGTTAAAGCATCCACTCGTCCCTCTGAAGACCCAGCTTTGAATCCCCACATTGGTACAAGCTCATTTGTGTGAAGCCCATGCGTGATATTGCTGGAATATTGCAGTGATATTACCAGGAATTGTATGTAAATTTTAAAATTTAGAGACAATTTAATACCTGTAAATGGTGTTTATTTCAGATCTGTTCGATAACGTCATCACCTTCAGGAAGACTGATGGTACTTTAGAATTTGCAACATTTGAAGCTGAGAATGCAGGTGACATCTGGTACCAGTTCCGCACAACATCTACAGACGGTGTCATGGTCCACAACACTGGGCCCAGAGACTTCATTCAAGTGCGACTCTCTTTCCGTAAGTAGTTCAGAGGTCCTTGTTTTACTTGGCAACTTTATTGAGAGTATGACAACATTCTAGGATGTCATGCTGTGACAGATTAATTACAGTAGAGGATGGGTCATGTTGTGTAATGGCTGATACACTATAGCAAAATGAATGAATTAGGTCACGTGATGACAGATAAACTGAATGACTTAGGTCATGCGATGACAGATAAACTCAATGACTTAGGCCACGTGATGACAGATAGAGTCCGTTTGAGACAAAATGATACCGATGAATTGCAATCTAACACAAAAACAAATAAACATAAAGAATTAAACCAACACGGACTGCAAGAAACAACTGACCCAAAAAATGGTAGAGCTGTGACGATACATCGTAGTATCGATAATCGTACTACTTTATCTGACGATAAATATATCGATACTTTTGTTCGTATCGTGATATGTATCGTTGACTTTAAAATTGTTAATGTTCACTAGAAATTGACGGTTATGTAAAAATTTACACTGTTTCTTGCTATCAAAATATACTTTTTTGTAAAGCAAATAACTCAAGATAGCATATCGTGATATACATCGATTCGAATCGTATCGTTCCAAGATATCGAGATACATATCGTATCGTGACATTTCCATATCGTCACATCTCTAAAAATGGCATAATTCTTGTCACAAAAATAAAAAAGTTGTTTAGAAACTGTCATCATTTATTTGTGCGTTTTCCAAGTTTGTTACAAGGGCGCATTGGCAACTAAAGAAACAGCGTAAAAAGCGAGATGCACGTGCATTAGTGACATCAGAGACATGTGATTACTGCTGATTGACAAAGTGAGAGAAAATGAAAGTCTATACTTTACAAAGTCTGTGATTTCTTCAAAGGATGAAAATGACAAGGGGGTGACCCAAGTATGCAATTACAAAGTACATACACTGGGGTACGCTGTCATCTAAGCCAGCTAAAAAATTTGTTGAGGACCCCGTTAGCACGTGCATCTGAAGCTGCGTGGCTGTTCCTTTAGTTGCCAATGCGCCCTTGTAACAAACTGGGAAAACGCACAAATAAATCATGACAGTTTCTTAAACAACTTTTTTTATTTTTGTGACACAAATTATGCCATTTTTTTCTAGAGTTGGTCTGTTGTTTTTATTGCACTCCGCATTGGTTTGATTCTTTTATGTCTATTTGTTTTTGTGTTAGATTGCAATTTATCAGTATCATTTTGTCTCAAATGGACTGTGAACTGAATGAATTAGGCCATGCGATGACAGATAAACGGAATGATTTAGGTCACGCAATGAAAGAAAAACAGAATGAATTAGGCCATGTGATGACAGATAAACTGATAGAATTAGGCAATGCGATGACAGATTATCTATAGAAATATGAATGAATTAGACCACATGATGACAGATTATCTATAGAAATATGTATGAATTAGACCACATGATGACAGATTATCTAGAATGAATGAATTAGGTCACATGATGACAGATAAACTGATAGAATATGTATGAATGCAATGACAGATTATCTATAGAAATATGAATGAATTAGACCACATGATGACAGATTATCTATAGAAATATGTATGAATTAGACCACATGATGACAGATTATCTATAGAAATATGTATGAATTAGACCACATGATGACAGATTATCTATAGAAATATGTATGAATTAGACCACATGATGACAGATTATCTATAGAAATATGTATGAATTACATGACAGATTATCTATAGAAATATGAATGAACATGATGACAGATTATCTATAGAAATATAGAAATATGAATGAATTAGACCACATGATGACAGATTATCTATAGAAATATGAATGAATTAGACCACATGATGACAGATTATCTGTAGAAATATGAATGAATTAGACCACATGATGACAGATTATCTGTGGAAATATGAATGAATTAGACCACATGATGACAGATTATCTATAGAAATATGAATGAATTAGACCACATGATGACAGATTATCTATAGAAATATGAATGAATTAGACCACATGACAGATTATCTATAGAAATATGAATGAATTAGACCACATGATGACAGATTATCTATAGAAATATGTATGAATTAGACCACATGATGACAGATTATCTATAGAAATATGAATGAATTAGACCACATGATGACAGATTATCTATAGAAATATGTATGAATTAGACCACATGATGACAGATTATCTATAGAAATATGAATGAATTAGACCACATGATGACAGATTATCTATAGAAATATGAATGAATTAGACCACATGATGACAGATTATCTATAGAAATATGTATGAATCTTGTCATACCATGATGGATTAACCACAGTATCTTGAATGGATCTGGTTATTACACTGAAATATGAACATTCCCTCCCAATGATTGTTCACCAAACATTCTACATTCTTGTTCTCGCCAACAGAGGGAGACACTATACAGTTCCGCTATGATGTGGGTAACGGCGTGCAGGTCCTGACCTACCAGTCTCCTGGACCCTTGAATGACGACACATGGCACACGGTCCATGTGGAACACAACAGGAAGCAGGCATGGATGAGGATTGACGACTTCACTGAGGTCTTCAGAAATGAAGATTCCGACCTGATACGGATGTTGGACCTCACAAGCCGACTTGTTATTGGTATGTAGCAGAACAGTGAATGAAGGGAATTCCTTGTCAGGCCATGTCAACTTCTACTTTACCACTACTGTATCCATGTTTTTTGCCTGTTCACTTGTTAGCTGAGTAACTGACTCTGTATCTTCCCCCTACCCTCAACCCACCCACCTTACCCCTCCCCTACCCTCAACCCACCACCCCTACCTCTCTCCTACCCTCAACCCACCCACCTTGCCTCTCCCCTACCCTCAACCCACCCACACTACCTCTCCCTACCCTCAACCCACCCACCTTACCTCTCCCCTACCCTCAACCCACCCACCTTACCTCTCCCCTACCCTCAACCCACCCACCTTTACTACCTCTCACCTACCCTCAAGCCCACCCACACTGCACTCTCACCTACCCTCAACCCACCCACCATACCTCTCCCTACCCTCAACTCACCCACCTTACCTCTCCCTACCTTCAACCCACCCACCTTACCTCTCCCTACCCTCAACCAACCCACCCTACCTCTCCCTCCTCTCCCACCTACCCTCAGCCCACCCAGCATGCTGCACCCCTCCCCCCCTCAACTTTCCCACCCTACCTCTACCCTACCCACCTCACCCCAACCCACCCTACCTCACCCTACCCTCAACCAACCCACCCTACCTCTTCCCTATCTCTCCCCCCTCCTCAACCCACCCACCTTACCTCTCCCTACCCCTCAACTCCCCACCCACCCTACCTCTTCACCTACCTCAACCCACCCCCTACTCTCAACCCACCCACCCACCTTACCTCTCCCTACCCTCAACCCACCCACCTTATGCCTCTCCTCTACCCTCAACCCACCCACCTATCTCTCCCTACCCTCAACCCACCCACCTCTCCCCCTACCCTCAACCCACCCTACCTCTTCCTATCTCTCCCCTACCCATAACCCACCCACCTTACCTCTCCCCACCCTCAACTCACCCACCCTACCTCTCCCCCCTCACCCTCAACCCACCCTACCGCTTCCCTATCTCTCCCCTACCCTCAACCCACCCAGCCTGTTTCTGCTGCACCCTCTCTCCACAACCTCCACCCCATGTCCTCTCTCCTCCCCAACTCCAACTCCCCATAATATACATCTCTGATACTTGATTGTTTGAGGAGGGTGTTACTTAGCAATCACGCAAAACTATCTCAAGACAATTATTGATGTCATGTAATATTTCAGGCGTTAAAGTGGACTTCAGTGACGGCTTTGTTGGATGTATGAGAGGCCTAAGAGTGAACGGTCAGCTCCTGGACATGAAGGGCAAGGTCGAGAGAGGAGATGTAACCTATGGAGTAGCTGTTGGCAAGTATTCTCAAACAACACCTCAATCTTAGTTTGTTAATATACCCTAATGAAGTGATTTCATTACCTAATGAAGTGATTTCATTACCTAGCAATCTTAAATTTATTTTCACCCCTGCTTGGTTTCATTCACGAGAGACAACTCCGTTAGTCCTTTTTCATTAGTTTGTGAAGAGTTATCCCCCTTTGTTTACTTGCTAGCAGACGACATTTTCAGTGATCCTCAGTATGGATGATTTAGAGAAAAGGAAGTTGATTTTAGAGTATTATAACAAGGACATCAGATCAGCTAAAGTGATTTCAAGTAGAACAGGCATCCCTTTGTCCACTGTTTATCGTGTTTTGAAAAATGTTGCAATGGATATGGCATTGAGCACCAGGGAGGCACAGGTAGGCCTAGAAAATTGACTGTCAGTGACAAGAGGCGGCTTGGTATTCTTGTTTCTAAAAACAAACGAAGGAGTTTAGAAAACTTAAGGCTGGATATGATTGATAGAGGAACTGTGGCTGTCTGTAAAAAGGAGACAATTAAGAATTGAGCTGCATGCAATGGGTTGGCAGAAAAGTCGAGGAATTCCATCACCGATCATGAAACCTGAACAAAAGGAGCGAAGGTTGAACTGGTGCTTACAGCATAGAAATTTTAACTGGGACAATGTGATTTTCTCAGATGAAAGTTCTGTGTGGCTGTTTCCTAATACACTGAAATTCTGGACCAAACAAACTGAAAAACCTTCGTATCTGATTAGCGCCCAAAGTACAGTCCGAAATTTACGTGTGGGGTGGCATATCTGTGTTAGGGGCAACGCCCCTCTGTGTATTTGAAGGGAATATGAACAGTGAGTGGTACACAGATATTCTCGAGGGACATTTATTTCCATCTGCTCACGTGTTCTATGGACATTTTTGGATTTTCCAGCAGGACAACGAGCCAAAACATTGTTCAAAGCATTCACAGGCCAGGTTTCAGACCAAAAATATGACATTATTAGATTGGCCAATCTATAGCCCTGACCTAATCCAATAGAAAATGTTTGGGGACTTATGAAGGAAAGTGTCAATAAGAAAAATCTGACAAATATTGCTGAAATGAAAGAAGAGGTGGTCCGTTATTGGGACAGCACGGACCACGATTTTTTAACTTCTTTGATCATTAGTATGTCCCGCCACATTGAAGCCTGCATTGCTGCCCATGGTGACTTGACAAAATACTAACTGTTCACCTGTCTTTGAATCTGGAGTTATGTTCTGCTAATATTCACATTTAATACGTGAGTAATGAGTGAAAAAAAATACAAAAACTTACAATCTTTAAATTCTCAATAGTTTCAGGTTGTACTGTATATAATGTGCCCCGAAGTGAGCACCTTGGGATGGAAACTAGGCGCTTTTTAAGTTCCAAGTTGTTCGATAGCACAATATATTTCACTTGCCGTGACTGTGTTAAGCTATTGCCCTAGGACTATATTATGCTAAGTTATTCCCTGGCACTATATTAAGCTGAGTTATTCCCTGGCACTGTATTAAGCTAAGTTATTCCCTGGCACTGTATTAAGCTAAGTTATTCCCTGGCACTGTATTAAGCTAAGTTATTCCCTGGCTCTATATAATTTCCATGTTGCTCCTTGCCACTATACAAGTTATTCCAATTTGTTCATTGGTTGCAGGCTGTGTGGGCAAGTGTTCCAGCAACCCCTGTTTCAACGGAGGCACATGTCGGGAGGGGTACTCCGGCTACACCTGTGACTGCTCCTACACCCCCTTCAGAGGCTGGATGTGCGGCAGAGGTAGGTCATGTTTCAGCATTGTCTACAGAATGCCAAAATATGGTGTTCTCACTGTTCCATAAACACCAACAGTTTAGCATTGTAGAACTGAACTTACTGAATTTTACGTGTTAAGCACCTGAAACCCAGTTCAGTGTGTTTTCTGTAAAAGGAAATCTGCATACACATGAAAGTTCAGTCATGTAAGTTTTCAGACTTAGTCTAGGATGCTTATAAAGATTGCTTACAGTCTAGAAGTTGGTCTCTTATTGGAGCATTGCAATTTATAATAATCTATAATAATAATAATAATGTGTCTGGTGTACAGAGCTTAGTGACTTGATTGAATACCCTGAAGGCATGAATTGTTGTTTGCAATATCAATCACTTAACTGTCCAGAGTTAAATATTTAGCGACTGTTGTCAAAGAGGTGGAATATTGCTGTATGTAACGTTAAACAAGTAATTTTCAAAATAAACTGTTGACAGTTCGAGTTGAATCTTGCTCTTACAGAGGTCGGGGTCAACATGCAGACTAACTTCATGGTCCGGTATACCTTCGATGAGGACCAGGGTCTCTCGGCCTCGGACTTCCAGTATGCTCGCATTGGCTTCTCTACCAAGAACAAGCAAGGAATTCTGATGCAGATGAGGAACCAACCCAACACTGAGTATATCTCTGTGGAAATGAATAACAATGGTACATACTTTCTTTGTGGGTAAGGGGCGGTGGGGTAGCCTAGTGGTTAAGGAATTCGATCGCTATGACAAAGACCCGGGTTTGATTCCCCACATGGGTACAATGTGTGAAGCCCATTTCTGGTGTCCCCTAACATGATATTGCTGGAATATTGCTAAAAGCCACGTAAAACTAAACTCACTCTTTGTGGATAGCTTGGGAAAACACTTGGTATTCAGGATTATAGATAAATGGTCCTTAACTCATCTTCGATGTTCTGAGTGTCTGGTGTTTACTGGAAGACATCATACAAATATCTTTCAGTATTGCCTTGTAACTGAATCATTTTCAGCACCATAGAAAATAAATATTAATACATTCCTTCGAACTGCTGTTTTTGTTTTATGAAAATATTTGACCCTGTTAACAATGCATGTTCCTGTTTCCAGGTGGAGTGAAGGTGGCCCTGGACGTGGGTTTCCAGAGGGAAGAGGTGAACACCCCTAATGTTGGAATAGACTACACCAATGGACAACAGCATGAGGTGGTGGTCAGACGAAGCAACAAGGGCAGAACTATATTTGTCCAGGTAACAGCAGTTTTCAGGTAGCCAAGCACACAGCCACAAGAGGGGGCCCTTCTGACTGTTGAGCAGAGTTTTCTCCCTTGGGTTTGCCAGAATCTTATCATGGTTCAGATCCCTGTAGTTGATCCATTGTCAGCAGGGGTGTAGCTACCATTACAGGGGCGGATACAGCTTTTTTAGAAAGAGGGGATGCACACTATTGAGAAAAGGAGGGTGCACACTTCATTTTCACCCGAGTTTCAATGGTCATTTAACAAACTTTCAGCACAAAAGGGGGGTGCGCACACCTGCATCCCCCCTCTGGATACGCCTATGCATTATAAAAAAAAAGCCCGGGCTTACTCATGATTTTTGCTTAAAAGGTTGGGCAAGCCCTCAATACTATCTAAATTTAAAGCTTTGCAACCTATTGGGCTTAACTTGTTTGAGTGGCATTTTTAGAAGTTGGGACGTACAATATGGAACAAGTTTTTATGGATAACAACTTCTTTATTTCGTGAGTGCGACGTTTCGATACAGATTCTTGTACCGTTGTCAAGCAAGAGTGATACATGAAGTGGAGGGGCTGCATATATATACTGTGTATAACAATGAAACAACATACATTGTAATTGACAAAGGAAACAACATAATTGCCATAATTGGTTAAGCAGTAAGCTGATGAAGCCAGTGAGTACACAAAGGATAGTGAATGGAAGCCAGAGATGTATACTACATTGTAACTACTCCTGTATTTATGGCTGTATTTCACATATTTGCTTCAGTAATAACACAGTTTGATTTTACCCACTGTAGGTTGACGACTACCCTCCAGTTGAGACAACATTTGATGTCTCCGACACCAGTGACACCATCCTGGACAACCCCAAATATCTTTTCATCGGCAGCAATGGTAAAACATTGCAATTAATTTCATGTAGATTTAAAGTCAATTTAACCAAATGTAGATATGCATTTATTCTGTTAATGTTAATTGGAGTCGGTGAATCAAAGCTAAACCGACTTAAAGGTAATTTATTATAGGGGGAGGGTTGGGCCAGTAGGATTGGTCCTGGAGTGTATCATAGGATATCCCCTGCCGAACCCCCAAAGTCACCTCTCGCCCTCCCCAGACCCCAACCCTCCCATTCCATATTATGTAATATAAAACAATTTTCATGTTGCCCTTTTTTCAATATTTCTTCATATGTATATGTATATCATTAATTATATATGACTGGAATAGTCATAAAGAATATACCCATTGGTCCCACTGGCCTTGCACATACCCTTTTAATACATCACCAGTCCCTAGTATTTTTACATTTGACGTCAAAGAACACTTTAACACACAGTACCATCACATATTTCAGATACTGCCAATTCTGCTAAGGGCTTTGAAGGGTGTATCTACCGTATGCAAGTGGACAACATCTTCCCCTTGAAGAGAGCATTCCAGGACCCGCGGCCTGCCTTCATCAGCCTCATCCCTGAAGGTAAGAACAGACAACTCAGCCCTGTGAGGGTAGTTTACCATCTACCCAGGGTATGTCAATCCTCGATAATCTCCAGGGTATACGTTACGATAACTCTCCACTATACCCTGGATGCATTCATGGCTTGGGGTGATAATTTTATTACCTCCCTTGGCTGGCTCCGCATTCTCACAGTAACCAATCAGCTAAGCCGCCGTTACAACCGAGCTTACCAGTGTCAACAAAGATAGCCCGGTCGCAGTCGCGAAGGTTTGTTCGCTGTGCCACTCAGATTTTTTGGGAAATAATAAAGACAAATTCACAGATCTGAAACTTTAAACAAATATTTAAAAGAACTCCTACTTCTTACAGAGTACCTCTGCATCAATTGTGTTGCCAAGTTTAAACGGTTAGATAATTTAAAAAGCGAAAGTGAGTTGTGAGTGGTACGCTTAACTTCCCAGCGTAGGCACCTGATTGGATAAAAAGCCAGCCAAGGGAGGTAATAAAATCATCGCCCCAAGCCATGGATGCATCCAGGGTATAGTGGAGAGTTATCGTAACGTATACCCTGGAGATTATCGAGGATGGGGCATGTCTTGCATTTAGGAAAGTCTTTATCCTGCATTTGGAAAGGAATGCAGAGTACATCTTTGTTTTTCGGGAGCATCCACAATCTGTCTCCCTATGTTGATGGGTAAGTTTTGCTTTTCATGAAGAAAACTGGTAAGTCTTACATTTTGGGCAAGTACTCGTTTCATGCTTGCATATTGATAACCCATTGGTTATATCTTTTTTATAGTACACATAGTAGGTATTGCATTTCTATAGTACACAAAGTATATCTTGCATTTCAATAGTTTGCAGGGTATATTTTGGATTTCGATAGTATGCAGGGCATATCTTGTACTTTGACAGTACATAGGGTAAACCTTGCATTACCATAGTACACCGAGCATTTCCTAGGTATGCTGGGCATATCTTGCATGTTGGACACATGTGTTAAAAGATACCATATTTCACCTCAGGGCATCCATTTTATTTCCAGGCAAGGTGAGAGAAGATATGTGTGGAATTGAAGAATACACACAGGCTCCTGATCCCATCGAGACTCGTCCTCGTGGCGGTGATGTCATCAACGTCACATATCCATACTTTGCCGATGAGGGTCTAACAACAAACGAAAGAATCATCCTTGGAGGTACATTGAGTACACATCCCATCAGTTGTAGGCCGCTGTGTGCTTCATGGGTTTGATTCTTGGGCCCAATTTGCCGGCAGAGGGCACTTTGTCTAGAATACTTGAAAAATCGATAAGGATAACCATAAGTCTTTCTAAGCATGGGAAGTGTAGATCCTTTTTTGAGAGGACTTCACAATTCATAAACATGGATACTTTCTTCTTGTCATATTTAATCACACAATCTCTCGCATTCTACACACACTTAAATATCTAACATAATTCGGCCATTTTTACATACTCTAACGTACACACTTTAAAATTCTCTCATATATATTCAACCTCTCACATTTCTATAAACTCATGAAGATCGGGGTTAGAATTCGTCTTCAGCAACCCATGCTAGTTGTAAGAGGCAACATGCAGAATCGGCGGGTCAGGCTTACTGACTTGGTTGACCAATGTCATCATATCCCAATTGGGTAGATCAATACTTATGGTTTTGATCTCTGGTCCAGACTCAATTATTTACAGACCGGCCGCCACAGAGCTGGAATATTGCTCAGTGTGACGTTAAACAACAAAGAAAACAAACAACCCAACACATTTTTGTATATTTAGACACAGACATTTTACCAACATGCGTGGGATTCTGTGAAAGGAAAACGCAACATTTGTAACAATCGTCTTCTGTGTTTCAGTTGTGCTGGCTCTCATCTTCATCCTCATCATCATCTTTATCTTCGTCCTGGCCAAGCTGCGATGTTCTGGCGGCGACTACGACACCAAGGAGGCCAAGGGAGCCGAGTACGCCGACAACCCAGACACTGCTGTTGTTTATAACCAAACTGGACTTCCGGATATAGCCAAGAAACAGGAATGGTTTATCTAGGGAGCTCCGATTACATTACGTGTGAATGATATGAACATTAATATTGATCAGAGCTTTTAAATCTAAGACTTCCATATCTTTCTTGATATGACCTGTGTGAAGATTTAATTGAATATGATTTAAGAGAGAGATCTGTATATGTGTAGTTCATGCTGCAACTTTAAATAATTTGTAATTTATTATAATTGTAATTTGTAGAGATAAGTCAGCCAGCATTAGTTGTCATAACGCTATTTAACCCCAAACTTTACAATAACTCACCGCAAGACATTATCCAACTGTCTGGATATAGGATAGGTTTGGGGAATACAGTTGTTTTAGCATCAGGGTGACCCATTTGGCAGCTTTATGAGGCACTTCTCTTCCATACCTTCGTGTTGGAATTCAATTAAGCATTTCTTTTTTCTTTTTTTATTAAAAAGAAAGATCTAAATAGTTGTTTCTATTTAAAGTAAGTAACTGGGTTGATTTATGTTGAAAACAACAACAATTGCCATGAATCAGTTCAGCACAGTGCCTGCAAAGTCATTTAATGTATACCTGTACTTAAGTGACTTCACCCAAGCACAAGGAGTTCCCTATCCACAATTTCAACAAGCCACCTTGAAGGCTTTGTAAAGGGTTAAGTCTGGCAAAGTCATTTGTCTTAGTAAAGTGTTAAGTATGGTAAATTCATTTCTCTAAGTAAAGAGTAAAGTACCAGTATGCTAAGTCTGTCAGTTCATCTAGATGTGATGCTTACTAAGTCTGTCTACCTCTCTTAGTAAAGTACTCGGAATTCATCTGTCATATTATAGTCAGAAATACAGAATTCATCCGTCTCTTGTTCATAAAATTATCCCCTAGTTTCTACCTTTCAGTCATTCGGCGAATAACCAATCTACTATGAAAAATGGGTTGCAGTTGAATATGAGGTATATTTTGTTAACTTATAAGTCTGGAATTAGAGCATATGGCAGGCGTTTGTGGCACTGTTGACCAAATGCAATCCTTGTACTCTCAAAGTCAGGAACTTAAATCCAGACTTCATACATACTCCTGTTTTTGTACAATGCTATATATTAAACATACCTTTAATTAAAACAATAGAATTAAAAATAGTGTACTTTGATTAGATTAAATTGAGGCATATTGAAGTTGAATTAATTTTGATAACAGCAGTTTTAGCTGAGAGAGAGTGACAGGTGTCATTTATGAATTCCATAAACTCAAAAGATTTTTAATTTTTACATAATGAACACATTGATCATTTCAAATTCATGTTCAGATTTAATTTTTTAATTTTTTTTATTTCTGTACATAGTGTACATATTTTTACATAATGCCATTTACATAATCATTTTTCAGGTGAAGTTGTAATATAAGTATCATTCCATATTTTTCTACATTTGTTAACTGTTAATGAAGCAATAATGGCAAAGGTAGAGTAGTCTTATTGTGAAGTGCCAGTAAGCTTGAATTGAATAAAAAGTTAAGATTGGTGCTTCACAGTCAACATTGTTTTTGCACAGTTATCATATCAAACATGTCACGTAATTTTTTACTGGGTTTGTAATAAGAATTTTCCATTATTTCACTGCATGCTAACAGTCTTACAGACTAAAAATATTATATTCATGAAATTTTGTAGTTCAAATTTCTCTTACAAAGTATTCCTCATTTAATCAAAAATCTCTTTAGTCGGTTATTTGTTAATAGTGTATTTACTTGTATGTTTATGTCCAGTTAAGTGTTGATACTGTGCCGACCATCCTCCGATCATTGTTGTAGATATGAACATGCTCAACATAATTTGTAATAAAATTATAATCATGATATTTTGCTTTGATTTTGTTTCTCATTTTGAATGAGTTTCTGACAATGTTGCTTTGCTCTGCCTCACTCAAGCACTTGTGGTGTTGCCTAAGACAAGTGACCTTTCCGAATATGTCTCTTCACCCAGCAGTAAGTGGGTACCCAGTAGGATGTGATCGTGATGAAACATCATAAAGGTATTCCAGGACACACTAATCAGTTGACGTTTTTAATATTAAAACAGTGCTTTGAGCATAGAAAGCATAATTAAGGAGTTAGGGTTAACAATAAAGCACATAATTATCGCTTTCAAAAAGAAAGAATAATCATACTGCAATATTTGAGGCTGAGAATGCAGGTGACATCTGGTACCAATTCCACACATCTACAGATGGTGTCATGGTTCACAACACTGGGCCCGGAAACTTCATTCAAGTGCGACTCTTTCGTAAGTAGTTCAGAGGTCCCTGTTTTTGTTGACAACTTTATTGATAGTATGACAACATTCTAGGATGTCATGCAGTGACAGATTAATTACAGTAGAGGATGGGTCATGTTGTGTAATGGTCGATACACTATAGCAAAATGAATGAATTAGGTCATTGATAACAGATGGACTGAATGAATTAGGTCATGTTGTGTAATGGCGGATACACTGTAGCAAAATGCATGAATTAGGTCACTATGCGATGACAGACTGAATGAATAAGGTCATGTTGTGTAATGGCTGATACACTGTAGCAAAATGAATGAATTAGGTCACGCTGATGACATAAACTGAATGAATTAGGTCATGTGTAATGGCTGATACACTAGCAAAATGAATGAATTAGGTCACGCGATGACAGATAAACTGAATGAATTAGGTCATGTTGTGTAATGGCGGATACACTGTAGCAAAATGAATGAATTAGGTCATCGCGATGACAGACTGAATGAATTAGGTCATGTTGTGTAATGGCTGATACACTGTAGCAAAATGAATGAATTAGGTCACGCGATGACATAAACTGAATGAATTAGGTCATGTGTAATGGCTGATACACTAGCAAAATGAATGAATTAGGTCACGTGATGACAGATAAACTGAATGACTTAGGCCACGCGATGACAGATAAACTCAATGAATTAGGTCATGCAATGACAGATAAACTCAATGACTTAGGCCAGGTGATGACAGATAAACTGAATGAATTAGGCCACACAATGACAGATTACCTATAGAAATTTTAATGAATTAGGCCACGCGTTGACAGATTATCTATCAAAATATGAATGAATCGGGACATACCTTGACGAATTAACCACAGTATTATGAATGGATCAGGTTATCTTTCACCTCTTTAAGTATTACACTGATACATCATGCAGAGGTGCCTACCCGTATGATTTCTCGTAATAATTACGAAATCATCCATTAAATTACGGCATCACGATAGAAAGTAATGGCTCATGAAATATTACTTAGATGGTCCTTCAAGATGCACAGTTCTTTATCTGAAACCATCTGGTTTCCATTATTACAAAATTACTCAGCAAACAACATGTATATCGCCAAGTGCGTGAGTATGGTTTTACGCCGCTTTTAGCAATCTTCCAGCAATATCACGGCGGGTGACACTAGAAATGGGCTTCACACATCGTGCCCATGTGGGGAATCGAACCCGGGTCTTCGGGGTCACGAGCGAACGCTTTAACCACTAGGCTACCCCACCATCACTATATCGCCAAGAATGAACATTACAACAATTCACAATGTTTAGTAAACTTCCTGTAACCATTACGGCATGCGCAATTATCCATTTCCGTAGTGAAAAAACTTGAGGTTATCTATAACGAAAAGATTTCTATAACGAAAGATTTCATTGGTTGAAATATTGAGTGCACACTTTGTAAGGGATGCAGCTTTCATTAGTTCGGCAAAGAATCAATATAATCATTAATGTACATATTTCTTAACTCTTCATTTTGATGTGTCTACACATCTAATTAAACATCATTGTTAGAATGGCTTAGTTTCACTGAAAACATCCTAAAACGTGTAACACTATTTCGATATGCGCAGCGATCCTTTGTTTACATGGGTTGTACGGCTCCACGTGCTGTCATCAAAGCCTTATGGAGAGCAAGCGACCCACCCCTTTTATATACATCCTGTTGTCATAAACCTTACGGTCGCAGTTGTAGAAGATTATCTATATAACAAAAACATTATGAAGACCGCACCGAATCGCTTGCGTTGGGCCAGTATCTTCTTACTTACGAATATGCGCGTTTGTTTACAAACGAGATAAATTCCGGTCACGTAATATGCAAATTAGCCTGTGACAGTGATGTTACGCAAAGTCATCGCTGCGCCGGAATAGTGTCTGCTATGCAAATGACCAACCTCGTATATCCAATGCTTTTCCCTGATTGGTATCATATTATAGTCAAAAACATCAGACCAAGTCTGTGAATGTTTTGCAGAATTTATGTCCTAAAAATAAAAAGTAGTTTAAATCATCATAAAATTTTGTCACAGTTCACTATTTGTTACGAGGGAGGAATGCAAGAGAGGAACAGCCAGGTGTACGTGTGACACGTGCACAAGTGCCGACAAAGTTATTGATTCATTACCTGTGCTGTGCCGTCTCCATCCTTTCTCGCACACTTGGCTGTTCCTCCCTCCCTTTGCATTCATCTCTCGTATCTTTGAAACATACCGCTCGCGGTCCTCTACAGAAAACTTCAGCACATAATCTCACCACTGTTTAACTTTCATGCGATTCGCGTTGTTGGCGACCATTGTTGCTTTCTGCCTACCGGTGCGCGTGCAATCTAGCCTCGTGACGTCACGTCCGTAAACATCTGGCATTTCCTTTAGGCAGTGTTATCGAGACAGCTTACTGGAGTTTCCAATGTGGGTCATTTGCACACCATTCTGGCCGATGTTTAATCTTTATGACGAAGATTGTTGAAGATTTTACGAGCGCTTCAGAACTGTGCATTACGTAGACATAATTCTTATTATTAATAGCTGACACTACCATGAAGGTATATTTGCATGGTACCTTATGTGTTATGAAGAACACAGGTTGCAAAATACCATTTTGTGAAAGAAGCGGGATGAATTGTCAGGCAAAGTATTACAATGTGATGCGTCTCCGATTCTAGTATCTCCATCTCTTGTCCACCATAATGCATGGAAGAAAGAGCTAAATCTAAGCAGAGACTATTCACTATCCAGGGAACGGTGATCATCACATTCAATGCTGGTCTTCCTGCCGTTCGAAATGTAATGGGAGATGAGAAGCAATAGTTAACTCCCCTTATATGCCAAAGCAAGGGATGCAAGAAAATACACTTGGAACATTGTTACGCAATAAATATCACCACATCATAAGATTTATGTACAAAGTAAGTGACCCACCCCTGCAAGTCATGTACAAGACACACACACATCCCACCTTCCCATATTAATTTTATTAAGCGTACATTTTAATATTACTATGTACAAAATGGGTGACACCCCCACACCCCTCACTCCTTAAAATCATAATCACCCCATCTAGCCTTAAATTTCGAACTGTCCCTAATAACAGTAACTTTAACATATGATCAGTAAGGTTTAATACTGCTTGAGTTGTCCACACGATCTATCATTTGATTTCTTAACAAGCATACAACATTTGACATGTATCCATTGACATGAATTAATATACTAAGCAGCAAAAGAAACGTCAGTTTGGAATTTTCCTTCGTAGAAAAGGATAATTGAAAACTCATTTAATGTTTTGATTATATATTTTTGACAACATCTCCAACTTTAACTGAGCAAAGACATTCCTTCCCAAACTCAGAATGGAACCCAGGAAATGGTCTAAAAGACGCAACCTGATCTCGGAGATGGTACGGTGTTCTCCATGTTTTTCATGCATCTCATGCTGCACGTGTTGTTCACAAGGACCAGCCCTATAAAGTGCACCCCCAAACCAGGTTGAAACATTCACATTACAACGTCAGCAGGATGACGCGACTCACGACAGCTCAGGGGAACCAGGCGCTAGGAAGACTTGAAGCTGGACACACTGCACAAGGCGTTGCCAATCACTTCCAGGTCAACGTTCGGACCATCTACAGACTGCAGGAACACCAACACCACAAATGGCAGACCAAGGGTGACCACAAGACGACAGGACCGCCATGTTGTGCGACAGCATGTACAGAATCCCTTCATGCAGGCATCCGAAACAGCACGCCAGACAGTGGGAACACACGGAAGACCAATCAGTACTGATACAGTACGCCGACGTCTTAACAGCGGGAACATATCCATTGCCGTAGACCTTACCGTGGACCTATCCTCATCCCTCGTCATCGGCGTGAACGTCTACAGTTTGCCCTACAACACCAAAACTGGCGATACAGGCAATGGAGAACTGTTCTGTTCACAGATGAGAGTCGGTACTGCGTATCAACTGCAGATGGCAGAACAAGAATATGGCGACAACGTGACCAGCGTTACTCAGACCAGGGATACTCTACAACAGGGATAGGTCACTCGCTTGCTTTCTTTACCATTTGTACTAATTAACGTGTGCCTCGTCATGCTCCAACGCACACAGTGACTTGGTTCGGTCCCAGCGCAACTTCGGCTGCGTTTAACAGTACTTCAGCCAGTGTATTGTATAGGTCGGAATTTTACAATGAATGAATGAATGAATTAAGAGCAAGAATTTTATGTGAATGAATGAAAGAAATTAAGAAAAAGAACATATGTGAATGAATGAAAGAATAAATGATACACCACGGCCATCCCTCCCCAAACATGTTAAAGAACGCAAAACTATCGGTAGAACACATGTTAACATCAGCTGTCCTTTTTATAAAAAATCTACTTTGAGACATTTTTTTACATTAGTAACTAATTCAGATATCTTATTGCATGTGTGGAATGACATGGGCATTGACAGAATGTTAACTGACACTGTCACAGACCCCTCAAGAACAGAAAGTTTAGAACTATCACAAAGCCTTGC